CAGTGAAATGATCTATAAATAAATATACCAACTTGATTTTTATTCCATCCTTCCTCCATCTAGTGCTTATATTTCCCAAAGATGACGTTTGGAAACCAATACACCAACATATCAATGTATGAATCATTAAGTATTTAACGTGGACCGAGTACAACATGTCATTCTGTATGTCATTTCGATCAACTGTTTCACAAACAAACACATTCATTGGGTCTGCTGCGGTGAAGTTCAAGTTATTGGTCTCCGACACCTGTGTGGAAATTGTTGCTCCTTTGTGGTGTAACAGATTCCGACGTCCATTTCCGGCAAAGCAACTAAGTCTTTTTTTCCCACCCTCACACCTACATACGTCGTTTATTCGGTAAATTTACCATAATCCCCACCCGTTCGTTTTCCCTTTCATCCTACCGCTTCTTGTCGTTGACGCTCGTTAAAATTCAAAATAGCCTTGTGACACGTGGCAAACTTTCGCTTGGCAACTGTGTTACCTTCCAATGTAAATGTTATTTTAATTCTTATTATTATTATTACTGCTAATACACTATTATTATTATCTATGGTACTTTTTATTTGAGACAATACTTTTATATCGTTACAACTCAATGATTACATAGCAAATTCTTTACAATGTATTTTTTTTTGTCTCAGATTGGTCCTACGTGACCAATAACGTTTTATTTCTACAAAAATTGTTAAAGTTCGAATTGAAATAAGATAATCTCTCAATATTTATGGATTTTATTATGTTTAGTGATTGTAAACTTATTAAAAAGAAATTTCTTGATATTATTTTACTCTACAAAAAAAAAAAAAAAAAAATAATAAAATTAAAATAAAAAACTGTTTTCTATTATTTTATATTATATAGCTAGTCATTATTTAAATTTTACAGGACATATACTATGTGTGTTATGTCACGTTTTGAACGAAGCGTAGGATAGTTATTTTTTTTATCCATTTAATTGTAAATTATTTTACGGAAACAGAAAAAATAACTATTTGTATGATATTAAAAAAGTTTATCGTATTATTATTATCAAAATATTTCGTCATTACTTTTTCGTTCGTAATAAAAATATGGTCTACAACTAAAGCTGTATGTTGAATAATAATGGTAAAACTCTGGAAACTTTTATGATGGTTTGCTCAAAGCGAATTTTCCATTATTTAGTAGTTTTTTTGACATTTTCCGAAAAAACAACTCTGATAATTTCCTTAAAATTACACGTCTTACATAATGTACCTGTGTTCAATTTATGGTCATTAATAAGTCAGAGGGAATATAGAACGACACATATAAGTACCTTTTTAAATCACAAACGAGTTCGCTCTTATACTAAAATATAAAATATAAAAATAAAATAATATCATAATAAAATGAAACGAAATGAATCGTCAAAAAACCAATAATAACTACTATTACTAAAATAGTATATACGATCTATATATACTATATATATATGTATATATCGTATCTTAAATTATTAAATTATTAACGAACAGGATTTCAATTATATTCAACAGTGTCTGTGTTGAATGGATTGATTTTAAAATGAGAATTTGAGAAGCGTAATCTCATATATTATATTAATTTTAAAAATGAATACACAAATTAGAAATTCATAATCACTTTATCTACCTATAAGTAGGTATCCTATTACCTAATCTATTCAAATATTTCAACATTCATTATTCTTCCAATTTTACCAGCATTTAATAATGCAAAAATCTTTGTGTTATTTTAAAAATTTATTTTTACTTATAAATTCAAAATAAAAATTGCGACGTAAATCAACATTTTATAAATGAGCAATGGATGTAGTGCATTTTTTTACTGCAGTTATCGATATGTGAACCGAAAAAAGTTCGTTAAAACGAATGTTCCGTCAAGGTTACTGATTTCTTAAGAAAGAATACAACAATATAATATTTTTAATGTTCGAACCATGTGAGTATCATTTAAAAATTCTAGTTCAATCAGTCACTTGCATAATTTTACAACGTTAATTAATTATAATGCAATAAAAATTAAGGAATAAGAATTATATTGCAACAAAATTAAAATTGTCAATTTTTATCTACACTTGTTTAATACATTATATATTTTTATAATTAAACATGTAAAAATATTTAAGTTTATATATACGTGTACGATTGAGACATATTAGATTTTTTTTAACTATATGTCATGTTTTAATTAAAAATTAAATTTTTAACAGTTGGATTTGAGTAATAGGAATGTATTATTTTTATCATTATAATTTTTTTTATCCTTGCTCCAGAATTTGGTAATTGGATGGGAATTGAAGCGAATCGGCCAAAGCTTTCGCGAACATTGGATGGGAAAAAGTTTTAAAAAGCCATATAGTAATTTTCTACGGGGAGGTTACAGAAATGCAATAACAATGATACTGGCTTTTTTTAACCACTGACGCGTATTGACCGGATATTTAGCTTTTATTTTCAGAAGACCTTCTATTTCTCGATTGTAGAAAGAAAGGAAGAGTAGCTATAAGAAAAATACAATAAAACGGTCAAAGTGTCTGAGTACTTAAGTAGATTGACATCGGATTCTTATAGACATTGGACGCTCAATTTTTTAATACCTCTACATTGGTATATTAATGAAGTGAACTGTCACTTTTAATTTGGACGTACATTTTTGAAAAGTTTAAAAAGTATACATCAACTGTCTTAATTAAAAAATGATTCTCTGTTGCACTCCCATTTATACCCTTGATAAATAACATCAATATTTTAAGCTCCACTGATCATTCAAATATCATGAAATTAATTAGAAATAAAAAATAAAGAAATAAAAAATAAGAATCAAAATAAACTAATCATATAAGTGTTACTAGGTACGTTTATTGCAGAGCTTTTTATTGTTGTATTCAATTTTATAAACGGTTTAACAAAAGCAAAACAAATAAAATATTATTATAAGATTATTCTTGTGGTTATTCTATATAAATCTGTTATTGATTTTACTTATTATTTTTCGGTTTTTTTGTTTTTATTTGTATTTGTCGGAATGTTATCATTGTATACAATTTCTGATTTCGAATAAATTGACAAGATTTAACACGTAGGCATATTTTGTAAAATGAATTGTGTATTTTTTGTTTAAATTTAATTGAATATTTTTATTTTACGTTACTATTATCCCATTTATCCCATTATCCAATTGATGTTTTCAATACTTGACGAATATTATATTAAATATACATTTTTGTTGTTAATTCGACTATTAATTTTTCTTTCTTTTTTGTAAAACTATAAAAAATAACTAACCATATTTTATCATTGCATAAATTATCTCTGAAATGTTTTAAATAAAATGTTCAGCAAACATTGTATACAACAATATTATACTACATAGTTAATAGCATAATACTTATACTGCGAAAGCAGAAACTGTTTACAATTATTGTTACTCAAACAATAGTTTATGTATACAATATTATATAATATAAAATAAAATTGTAAAATCAATAAAATTAATTAATTTTTAAAATTGTATATTAATACAATTTTATACTTAATCTATGCTCAAACAATGAATAAAAACGATATCAACTTGTTCGGGTAATTATTTTAAATATATTTTAAAGATATAGCATCCGTTTCTTAACGTAAAGTTTGAAATATGTCCTTAAAAGTAATTGATTGGTTCGTGAATTATAAAATTGTTATTTTAAATCAATAAACGTTCTTTCCTTAGTTCATAGATTTATAAAAGCAAAAAATAATGTATACTTCTATAAATGAGGAATTCAATCATCAATGGTAAAAATTAACAAAATCCTACAATCAATATACGAAATTACTCCTATTGGAGCATTGGACTAATGTCGAATCAAGACTTTATAATAGGTACCTTATAAAATAAAAATGAGAAAAGTACTAACGATTGAAATTAATTTAAATAGTGAATTATTTTTATTCGATATTTTCCCTGTTCTGTTTCATGCATGGGGTATGAAAATTCTTAACGTATTATTTTCGACTTCGGGTAAGAAAATAAAAATACAAAATGTTCATAAAACCCTAATTCCCAGTGAAATATTTCATTTTATATGCTTTTATATAATATATCATTGTCAGATGGGAATGTATTCTTTCATTTTCATAATATTTAGTAAACTCATTTTAAATAAACTATTGTAATTGAAAATATAATGTTTAAATAAATTTTAAGTGGTAAACAGTTTGCATTTTTTTTGAACCAAAACTTTATTGAAATAATTACTCGAAAAAAAAAAAGAAATGCTTTGATCGGAAAAGTTATATATATAAATATTATTTTTTATTTGTATTCTTTTTTTTTTTTTTTTATAGTGGTTAAAATTAAAGTCCATGGGCGTTTCTTTCTGTAGAAAACATAAAAACCATCCATAACTCTAAGCACAGTTAGCCCACGTAGATTATTAACGGTTTTATATTGGCAGAGTTTTACCACGGCAAACGGCTTGGAAGCATTTTAAAATGGTAAATAATATTATGAACATTAATCCACGGAAGGATAATTTACAACTTCTATTCTCGTGTCAAAAGTATACCACGATGAATCCGGGTGAACGATCTAAATAATCTAAAATGTTGAAAATATGCTAATCCTGTCAAAATAATGCAAAGATGTATTCTGTGTATAATATTTTTTTATCTATTTGTAAAATAATATACTTTAAATTTGTTTGCGTAAAAACTTACGTGTTTACTTACACTTGGTATATGGAATCACAAATAATAATTTTTGAAAATATTAATATTTCTATTCATATATAGGTAATACAATGATATTCGTATTATATTATATAATAATATTCGTTGAATTAATAACAAACAATAATAAATATAAAATTGTATTCGTTTAATATCTCGTATGTGCAGAATAAGAGTATTATAAGTATTTTAAAACAATATTATAGTAGTTTATATTATAAATCAAAGATACTATTATTAAGTGCAATTGAAATAATTTTAATTTTTTGTTTCAGATCACTTTAACATTTGAATTAGATAAAAATTCATCGTTTTGGTATTGCTGGTGAGTACTTTTATGTGAAACATGCGATTATAAAAATGTAAAACCAAACTCAATTTCGAAAATATGTTCCAATGATAAAATACTGCCATAAGTAATATTATATAAAATTAAACATTGTGTTTTAAGAAAGCAGTTTCTATATTAAATTTAACGAAATGTTTACAACCATTATAATCAATCAATCGTTTAGTTTGTTTATGGCTTGATACAACACACATAAGCATATGTAAAATCTTATTAAATCATATTTAATATTCAAATTATTAATTAAAATAAAGTCATAAGTATTGCCTTACGTATTATAGTTTTTGTACAATCGTGCGGCGTAGAACCTCCACCGGCTTCTACAATTTGTCGCATACGTCTCATTGTACATGTTTCCATATATCTCGTAAACTGTTCTGGTTGTTTGCGTTCCACGAAATCGATAATAGACATGTATCTAAAGACCAACGAGTACTGTGCGGTTCGGGTTGAACGAATTGCATCCGAGTGCTTTAAGAAGCAGAAAGGTGTTGTATAGGATCGAAATCGTTTGGTTTCGAGTGAAATCGTTTCGGTGTTCGGGGGTGGACGCACGACGTAGCGTATAGGCAGTGCTACACGATGCGTTTGATACTTTCAAAGTTGGCCACAAGATAGTTCACCATATCATGCAACGGTAATCCATATGTAGAGATGTTCAAATATTTGTGTCCAATAATGGTGTTGGAACGATTTCCGCTTAAAATCGGTGTTTTCTACCCGTGTCAAAGGAATATCCAACGTAGGAAAAAAACTAATATTTGGTGGTATACGGCTACATGATGTGACATGTTGTAGTCCTGTATCCAGTCTTCAATTACCGTTCTCTAACGTTCCCTCTGAAAACAACATCCACTACCTCCTTGCACGTATTTATTTTGTTTTTTTTTTTTTTTTTTCTGAACGAATATCTTACCGCGAAATAGTAAAATTACAACGGCAGAAGCTGCAATCACGTTATCCGTTTTCTTTTTTCGCTTTTTTTTCTACCACGATTTCAAGTCGAATCATGTTTTTAAGTGTGTATAAATTCACACGCAGACCTAGGTACGCTGGAAGGAAGTACGCGTCCAACAACTCAACACTGAAGCCAACGTTCGGCACATCGCGTAGCACTAGCTACACTATCGACGGTCAACTCGGCCACGACACCGGTGAAGCCAGATGCGTGTTCGCCAACGTGGTAGCGCCCGGCGAGGGAAACGTGTTCGCGTTCGTGTGTCGTCCGCATGCGGTACACGTGTTTCGCGATGGCCCCGCACACGGTCAGTCGAAACGCCGCGGAAATAGATGATGGTGGGAGGGGGTGGGGAACGAGCGTCGAACGAGATCGGTCGTACTTACAACGTGCGCGCGCGTAGCCGATCGGTGAGCCCAACCCCCACACACTCTACGTGCACGCCGTCGGCCCCGGCATCACTTTTAGCGCGCGCGACGTACTGAATACGTGATGAGGACGAATGTAGGGCGCGAAAAAAACGCGTGGTAATCGGATGGGAGGACGGGGCGTGACGGCGACGATGACGCGACGCCGGGAAATCGACATCGGCTCGGCGGGGTGGTCGACGGCCGACGCGCTGTGCTCACGCGATCTTATATACGCGAACGCACGTTTCGTACGTACACTTGTGCGCGTGTATAAACGGATTGTTTTTTTTTTCTCTCTTTCTCATCCGATTTTCGTCGGGACCGACTTCGACATATTGTACTTTGAATCACGATCTCTCCCCTTGCCCCTGAGCTACACGACGCGCGTACGGGTCACCGGCACCGGACCATTGCAGGCCCGTACGAAAGTCCCGCAGTCGTGCGTTTTCGTGGAAAGCCGATATTTTAATCGAATACTAAACAGATTGAATCCGATGTACCTGCTGAAAGTTGCAGAACTTAAAATTTATTTCAGGGGGTGGGTAGGGGGATTGTAAGGTAAACAATTGTTTGAACACCCCCTCGGCGTATGACTTTATAACTATACATATTATGTTTATTAATATATTATTTTACAACCAAAGTAATATCAGCTGTCGATATTAATCGATAGTAGAAATACTGAATATTTTTTGGAATATATTGAGATTATCGAATAGTTCAGTTGGGATATGACTATCTTGAACACGTCGATAAAACTATTCGGAATTGCCCATCACTATCCGATACGAACAATTGGTCGGTGTGCGATCGAATATCAAGTACCGTCGCGTATCGTTATCACAGCGATAGTAATATTTGACGAGGTTTATTTTATTTATATTCGGTAGTAATATCACGATCGGTCGTGCGCGACTCGAAGGCGTTGATCGAACGACGCTGTTGTACATACACATGTGATATTTTTAACGCACTACAAACGTGACGCGCTTGAATTATTCCGCAGAAACGGAATTCCAACGAAGTTTATACATGATCACATTAACATTATATTCGTTCACCGATGGAATACATTATTATTATTATTATTTTTTTTTTTTTATTATTAAGAATAAGGCTTCGACATTGGCGGTCATTAGCCTGAAAAGGTTTACAATGGTGGATTAAAGATTAGAAATATTGATACAGTCTTATGTATATAATAACATACAAATTAAACAAAATAAGTAGATAAATAAAGTAAAATAGTAATGTTAAATAAATAGGTAAAACAGTAGTATTTGCAGATTTTTTATAATAGGTTGGATACTTCGATGGCGTTAAAAAAGTTGAAGATGGCATCTGTGTTGGTTTCTCCGAGTGCTTCTTCGATGTTGGATGGAAAGTTTAAAATGCTTCATTCATAGTTGTACTTGGTGCAGCTGCATTATTATTATTATTATTATTACTTTACGTCTGAAATGATATAAGGTTCGAATTACGTAATTCTACTAATATTTCATCATCGAGTGGGTAGTTCATTTGAAAATTAAGAGATATTACATATCGTATTATTATAATTATTGATTGGTGATGATAGCTTATGAGTGGAGAAAAATCCATATTAAAAATACTATGAAAAAAAAAAATTGTTATATTTTGTAAATTTGATTGGAAATTTTAAAAGTGCTGAACACATACCATACGAAAACAATTCAATAAAACAGAATATTTTCATTACAAAATAAAATATAAAAAAAAATCTTATTTCTTTTAAAAAACCGTGTGTTTAAAGCATTGTTCTCACCAAAGCAACTTGCAATTGCAACTAGATCGTGCAACTCGTTGGGTTGCAATCGAATTTAAATTGTTTTGTGGTCAGCGTTCTCATCGAAGCAATTGTTTTTGATAATATTGTTGAGTCTCGCTCTCACTCAGTCCATCTCAATAGTCGTTATCTATGACTTAGTAATTTAAAATTTTCTAATTTTCCGCGCAATTTTCTTAATTTTTTCTTTCATAAGAACATTCTCCTGACAATAAAAAACACAACAAAAAAAAGAACTAGCGAAATTGGTCCATCCGTTCACGCATGATGGCGTGACATAGGGATTCATTTTTATATATATAGAAGATACATAGGTAACTTATCCATTTCCATCAAAAAAGTGTTATATTAAAATATATTTCATTAGTCGAAACTACATAATAAATTTAAAATATATTAACCAGAGTAGTTAGTTTGTTTAGCTATATCTTCCTAGCTATATCTAGCTATATCTAAGCTATATCCTCCCAAGCTCTTTCTTTTTTATCTGTTCTGATATAACTTGGAGATGTAATGTCATAAAGACAAGTATGTTTTCGACTTTTTGAACAAACAAAACATTTCATTCTTCCTCATTAGCCATAATTGAAATGTTAAATATTATTTAATATTATACAATTAATATGATATGGTTATATGGTGATACGGTGATAATTTTTATAAAACTGGAGACTAAAACCGTGCATCTCCAGTTGCTTCAAATGGTTTCAAATAAGTTTCGTGCAAATCGGATCACTTTTCAGTCGCGTTGCAATCGGTGAAAACATGTTCATTAGTATTAGTGTGCACGGTTGCGTTGTAGTTGGGTTTCAATCGAGTTGCAGTTACAAGTTGCTTTGGTGAGAACCATGCTACTGAATTATCTGATTCAGAAGGAAAATAATCACGATCAGCATCTGAATCGTCAATTTCACTCAAATCACTAAAATCACTCAATACATCACAAAAAAGTTCGTTAACTATTTCATTATCATTAATGCAATCATTGATACGCTACCTCTTTGGCCTGCTCGAGCTAGCCATTTTGATAATTTCACTTACATAAAAATTAAAACAAACACAATTTGGAAAATAAAAGTATGTTACCGTTTGGTCGCCGGCGGGCATATGGCGTCAGAAGTAAAATCATATTTTCATCACGCCACATGGTCGCCGGTGACCATACAAAGTTATAACAGTATTTAAAATTAGAACTTATCGCTGATAATTTTACTCTTGGTATCAATTTAATAGCTACAGTAGAACCAAAGATATAAATACATACAAATTAGTAATAACTTGGGAAAACACACTTGGCGTATTAATAAATGACTGCCGTATGACCGCCGGCGGGCACACGGTGGCTAACGTGTTAAAAAAACTAATTGATAAAGAAAGCTAGTTTTTTCGTAACAAAAGGTTAAACCATCTCCCATAACCTTTTTCAAAATTCCATATAATTTATTTGAATTGTAATTATTTTCATTCAGTTTAATTGACGATAAACCTATATTGCAATATAATGCAATTTATAATTATCAGTGGAGTTGTTTTAAACATGTCAAAAATAATAAATTTCTTTGATGTTGATATGATTGTTAATTTGTTTTATATACAAGATCACATGAGAAATTACTAATGGTTAAATTTCCGATTTAGAGATAAATTTTACAAACTAAAATATATGTTATGCCATCCCAATGAGTTAATGTACAAAAAGTGTGTTGGTGAATTATCTTTTTTGTGTCTACACACATACAAGATCAGTAAAAATTCGTTTCGTTGAAATTAAAAATGCATACACGTTCCATTGGCTGTACTT